AAGGTTCAGTCCTTGGTCCACTACTGTTCTCCATCTATACTGCCTCCCTTGGTAAACTCATTAGCTCCTTTGGCTTCCAATATCATTTCTATGCAGATGACACGCAAATCTACCTGTCCTCTCCTGATCTCTACACGCCCCTCTTGACTAGTGTCTCTGACTGCCTCTCTGCTGTTTCTAACTGGATGGCTGCCCACTTCCTTAAACTAAACTTGACCAAAACTGAAATTCCAGTCTTTCCTCCCTCAAGTGTTGTTACTCCTGTGTCTGTCTCCCTCCAAGTCAACGGTGCTACCATCAGCTCCACCACGCAGGCTCGCTGCCTAGGTGTTCTCTTTGACTCCGACCTCTTCTTCAAGCCTCATGTTCAATCCATCGCCAAATCCTGTCATTTACATCTCAAAACATTGCGCGTCCGCCCCTACTTAACGCCAGACGCGACTAAGGTGTTGGTCCATTCCACTGTCCTTTCTCGCCTTGACTACTGTAATCCGCTTCTCAGTGGTCTTACGTGCTCCCAACTTGCGCTGTTACAGTCCATAATGAATGCGGCGGCGAGGCTCATCTTCCTGTCCGCCCGCACCTCCCATGCCTCACCCTTCTGTCAGTCCCTACACTGGCTTCCTATAAAATATACAGGGAGTACAGAATTATTAGGCAAGTTGTATTTTTGAGGATTAATTTTATTATTGAACAACAACCATGTTCTCAATGAACCCAAAAAACTCATTAATATCAAAGCTGAATATTTTTGGAAGTAGTTTTTAGTTTGTTTTTAGTTTTAGCTATGTTAGGGGGATATCTGTGTGTGCAGGTGACTATTACTGTGCATAATTATTAGGCAACTTAACAAAAAACAAATATATACCCATTTCAATTATTTATTATTACCAGTGAAACCAATATAACATCTCAACATTCACAAATATACATTTCTGACATTCAAAAACAAAACAAAAACAAATCAGTGACCAATATAGCCACCTTTCTTTGCAAGGACACTCAAAAGCCTGCCATCCATGGATTCTGTCAGTGTTTTGATCTGTTCACCATCAACATTGCGTGCAGCAGCAACCACAGCCTCCCAGACACTGTTCAGAGAGGTGTACTGTTTTCCCTCCTTGTAAATCTCACATTTGATGATGGACCACAGGTTCTCAATGGGGTTCAGATCAGGTGAACAAGGAGGCCATGTCATTAGATTTTCTTTTTATACCCTTTCTTGCCAGCCACGCTGTGGAGTACTTGGACGCGTGTGATGGAGCATTGTCCTGTATGAAAATCATGTTTTTCTTGAAGGATGCAGACTTCTTCCTGTACCACTGCTTGAAGAAGGTGTCTTCCAGGAACTGGCAGTAGGACTGGGAGTTGAGCTTGACTCCATCCTCAACCCGAAAAGGCCCTACAAGCTCATCTTTGATGATACCAGCCCAAACCAGTACTCCACCTCCACCTTGCTGGCGCCTGAGTCGGACTGGAGCTCTCTGCCCTTTACCAATCCAGCCACGGGCCCATCCATCTGGCCCATCAAGACTCACTCTCATTTCATCAGTCCATAAAACCCTAGAAAAATCAGTCTTGAGATATTTCTTGGCCCAGTCTTGACGCTTCAGCTTGTGTGTCTTGTTCAGTGGTGGTCGTCTTTCAGCCTTTCTTACCTTGGCTATGTCTCTGAGTATTGCACACCTTGTGCTTTTGGGCACTCCAATGATGTTGCAGCTCTGAAATATGGCCAAACTGGTGGCAAGTGGCATCGTGGCAGCTGCATGCTTGACTTTTCTCAGTTCATGGGCAGTTATTTTGCGCCTTGGTTTTTCCACACGCTTCTTGCGACCCTGTTGACTATTGTGAATGAAACGCTTGATTGTTCGATGATCACGCTTCAGAAGCTTTGCAATTTTAAGAGTGCTGCATCCCTCTGCAAGATATCTCACTATTTTTGACTTTTCTGAGCCTGTCAAGTCCTTCTTTTGACCCATTTTGCCAAAGGAAAGGAAGTTGCCTAATAATTATGCACACCTGATATAGGGTGTTGATGTCATTAGACCACACCCCTTCTCATTACAGAGATGCACATCACCTAATATGCTTAATTGGTAGTAGGCTTTCGAGCCTATACAGCTTGGAGTAAGACAACATGCATAAAGAGGATGATGTGGTCAAAATACTCATTTGCCTAATAATTCTGCACTCCCTGTAGAGCTCAATTTAAAATTCTGGTTCTTGCTTTCAAATCTCTACATAATGCTGCTCCCACCTATCTATCCTCCCTTACAAACAAGTATGTCCCGTCTAGGTCCTTACGCAGGGCCAGATTAAAAGCCCAGTGGGCCTGGTGCTGACAATTATGATGGGCCTAATTACAGAATCATATCGACCAAAAAAAATAAAACACTCCCAAGCATCATGTATCTGATGGAGATGGTGCTGGAGAGAAAGAAAACAGCAGCTATAAGAAAATACATACCCTAGGCTAATCTCTCTCTAATTTATGTTTTTATCTTTCAAGTAAATCCATAACCCCTAACAGCAGTGTCCAGTCAAGCAGGAAGTCAATGGGCATGGTAAAAGGGTGTGCCACTGACACAAATCACGTAACCTGCCAAAAGGGGCGAACATGCCCAAAAAGAGGACATGTCTGCTCAAAGAATTAGAAGGCCAGCCTGGCATGAATGCATGTCAGGCTGCCTGCCAATCATGCAGCTGGCCAACTAAGGGCATGCTATGCAGACAGCACCCTGAGCTTGGCATAAATGCATCTAATGATGCGCTCACTCCACGCTTACTAAGGACTGTCCCTTAGCACTCGCTGGCCACTTGTCTCCTTACCTTCTTACTAGCAGGCAGAAGCTCCTGGTATATGGTCTGGGACAGAGAAAAGCTGTATGTAGTGAGTGTAGAAGAAAGGGAACATGCCACAGTGTTAGAGAGACCAAAGTCAGCATTACCTTAAAGGATCACTATAGGGTCAGGAACACAAACATGAATTCATGACCCTCTAGTGTTAACACCACCATCTAGCCCCCCTGGGCCTCTCATGCCTCCATAAATATAGTTAAAATCTTACTGTATTCAAGCCAGAAGCTGTAAATCTGCATGCTGTTAGACTCAGGAAAAACAAGCAGTCTGCTGACATGTGATAGCCTGATCCAATCACAGTGCTTCCCCATAGGATTGGCTGAGACTGACAAGGAGGCAGATCAGGGGCAGAGCCAGCATGATTCAAACACAGCCCTGGCCAATCAGCATCTCCTTATATAGACAAATTTAATTAATGAATCTCTATGAGGAAAGTTCAGTGTCTGCATGCAGAGGGAGGAGACACTGAATGTTTGGATGCATTTTAGGCAGCCGTGACCCAGGAAGGATCTCTAAACAGTCATCTAAGGAGTGGCCAGTGAAGTTATCACTAGGATGTAACGTAAACACAGCATTTTCTCTGAAAAGACCGTGCTTACAGCAAAAAGCCTGATGGTAATGATTCTACTCACCAGAACAAATTCAATAAGCTGTAGTTGTTCTGGTGACTATAGTGTCCCTTTAACTATATTCATTGTCAGCCAGTCCCCACACGTTTTGTTCCCATCCATCCCTCTTAACTTTCCATGCTTAAGTAAGAGTATGTGAAAAATAGTTAGGGTTGCCAACTTTCTTGGAAAAACATACCGGCCTTACTAATTTGCATAATTAAATATGTGTGGGTGACATCACATGATGTAAATCACAAGGAGTAACAAAAGAAAAAATGCTGTAAGACATCGTGACACAGACACCAGGGACAAAGATACTAGAGACACTGGCTGGGGGATATGGGGACATTGAGACACCAGGGCCACAGACACTAGGGACACTAGCTTGGGGACATTGTGACACTTGAGGCACTAGGAGACATGGGGACAGTGAGACACTGGGAGACTAGGGGTCACTGGGAGACTAGGGGGCACTGAGACACCAGGGACACTGGCTGGGAGACATGGGGACACTGTGTCCCCATGTGTCTGTGCCATAATGTCTCCCAGTGTCCTTTAGTATCTCAGTGTATGTCTCCTTGCAGCCTTTCCCCCCCATCCCTTACTTCCCTGAGCTGTAGGCTGTCTCTGCAGGGTGGGAGTTGCTGTCTCGACTCTCTGTAGCTGCACCCCTGCAGATCAGTGAGTATAGATAGGCAGGGAGGGATATGCTGGAACTTCCTATCCCTGCCTGTCTCCACATACAGCGACCCTTACTGGCCAGTGCTGGTATTGCATAGTAATCTCCATTTATACTGAGAAAAATACCAACATTTATATTGCCAGTATTACTGCAATATTGGCACCAGCCAGGCAGCCTCAAATACTGGCTGTGCCAATAAAATAAAAGGCAGGTGGAATCCCTAAGAGTAGTGTGTGAAAAATAAATAAATAAATAATAAAAAAAAATAAAATATATATATATATATATATATTTTTTAAATCAATAGGCCTATTCCATGGGCCTGAGCCTGGAGCTGCAGCTTCATCAGCCCCTATGTTAATCTGGCCCTGCCCTTACGATCTGCTGAAGACTTACATCTATCTTCTGTCCGTACTCCCACCTCTGATGCTCGCCTTCAAGATTTCTTGAGGGCTGCACCGTTCCTGTGGAACTCGCTTCCCTTCACCCAGTCTCCACTCCTTCAAAAAATCGTTAAAAACCCACTACTTCATAAAAGCGTATCAATTAAACTGTTAATAGCTCCTGATTGATTCCTCTTCTGCAACTGTCACTAGTCCAGGGGTGTACCTAGAGCATTTGGCACCCGGGGCGGATCCTGTGCTTGGCACCCCCCTCCCCCCCACCCCATCAAAAAAAAAAAGTTAAAGGTTTTCTTTCTTTTTTTTTTACAATTTGTAAACTTTGCAAAACTGCTGTCAGCCCCTCCTACAAAACCCTTGTCCTGCCCCGCCCCTCCTACAAAACCTCTGTCCTGCCCCTTCTACAAATCCTGTACTGCCCCGTCTACAAAACCCCCGCAACCCCCTTCCACAAATCCCCTGCTTATCCCCCCTTATAAAGACTCCTGTCCCAATACAAAACCCCCGCCCCCTTCTACAAAATCCCTGCAGCCCCACACACACATTTACAGGCAGACAGTCACACACTCAGTTACAGACAGACAGTCACACACTCAGTTACAGACAGACAGTCACACATACACATTTCCTCCGTGCGGCCAGTTTATCAGCTGTTTGCTTGAGTGAGCTGTACTGGCCGCACGGCACCCTAACTTCCATGGGACACTGTGCGGCCACAGCTCACACAGCCCCTCCAGCCAGGGCCGGTACAAGGATTTTTGCCGCCCAAGGCAAAAGTAAAGTTTGCCGCCCCCCATGTGACATCACAATGCCCCAGCCATATGATTTGCCATGTTAACTAACGCCAGTGCTGCAGTGCCGCCGTGTTTACATTAAAGGCCTGCAGGGACAGGCTATAGACACCAGAACCACTACATTAAGCTGCAGTGGTTCTGGGGACTATAGTGTTTCTTTAATGTGAGGTAAATTAGAGATTAGTGCCACGAATAATATACTAGATTGCCTACTTACAACCAGATGAGGATGATGATGGGCTCTAGCTGCCGTCTGGCTCCACTGGTCTGGTGTAGAACAGGCTCTCTGGAGGCGGTTTGTAACTGTAGTCACAAAAATCAATGTTCTGGGAGAACGGGAAGCAGCTCCATTTTTTTGAGGGCCCTTTACACAGCTCAAGGTCTGGGTCCCAGGGTCCACCTTTATGTTCCACCAATGAGTTTGTTCACAGGGGTGTGTGTGTGGGGGGGGGATGTCCTGGTGTGTGTAAGGAATGCATTGTGTGAATCTGTGTTTGTATGTGTAAGGGCTGCAAGGTGAGTTTGTGTATGTATGGGATGCAGTGTGTGCGTCTGTAAGGGATGCACTGAGAGTGTGTAAGGGGTGCATTGTGTGT